AACTAACACAAGCAACCTTTGACATATTGAAATACTACAAAAACTGCTTTTGAGGTGGAAGGAAGGTCGGGACGTTAATCACTGATAAGATTTTGTAGGCTTCGGGGTTGCTAGACTATAACCCTCTTCTCATTTCAGTGAAGGCCTCTAGACCGAACTTAGAACTAGGTGAATCAGACTCGAACTGCCCTTGTCTATTTGTTATTTCATTGTTTTCTCATGCATATTAGTTTTGCAGCCATGGTGTGCGGATTTGCGAGCACCGTGAAATGAGACCAAGGGTGGAAGTTGCCAGCCCAAGGTCGGATCGAGCTCGGTCTTAAAAGGTGCGGGGACTACTGCCGACGCCATGGTCGAGGTGGAGTGTTCTCAGGGTCCTTCACTTGGCTCAAAGAAGCCTCAGAGCCAGTCAACCAAGGCATTGGACGTCTCTCCTTTGAGAGAAATACACGGAGGTGCCTCTCCTTCGAGGAAGATGAAGAAGAAGAAGAAGAAGAAGAAAAAGAAGAAGAATTTTTCTTCGGAAGGTACTGTCTCAAAGGTGCGGAGAAGTAGCTTCCTTGACCTGGCTGATGACCCGGAAGGTAGGATGGGCGGCACTTATGATGTGGAAATAAGGTTTCGCATCGAACCCTCCGTCGTTGGGATGAAGAAAAGGGTCGAACAGATTGGGAATGCTAATTACTCTCGATGCATGAGGCCAGGTCGCCAAGATAGTTTGGGCGCTCTTAGGTCTGCCATCCAGTGCATGATCGACATTACTGACGAGGTGAGTGATATCAAGCTCGTACCCTTGATTTAATTTATTGTAGGTATTGCTTCCATTATAACTTTTTATTTATCTTATAGGCTCATGCAGTGGCTTGTCATGCGCCCTTTATGGTAAAGGCTGAACTTGACGGACACGAGAAGTTGTCCGAGAAGGACAAGAGTTCTATCTCTGCTGCCCACGGTGAGCTTCAGGAGGTGACGACCGAGCTAAAGGCCACCTAAGAGAAACTTAAGCTGGCGGAAGGTGAGCTGGAGAAGAACTTGAAGACCTTCAAAGGGACCCATGCGGTCGTGAAGTGTCTCGAGGTCGAGAAGTTTGAGCTCATGCACCAGAATGCTCACTGGGAGGAAAAGCTTGTGGAGGCGCGAGCTGACGTTGAGAAGTGGGAAGTTCGGTTCCAGAACAACGCCTTCCTCGAGGAGACTTTCCGGAAGCATCCTGACTTGGACGGCTTCGCCAAGGACTTCAGTGATCCTTGTTTAAATCGAACAATTCAAATTATTTTACAAAATTCTTGATCCTTGTTTTACCCATTGTGAGCTAACGGGGGGACCTGATGGACCTATAGATCAGAAGCTCCAACGTTACGAGATTAATTGTTAAACTCATTAACCACCTTAATCAACATACGTTAACTACAGGTTACTCCACTAAAAACCCACAGCTGGACTCTTTTCACCATAGAATATTTTTGTGTCCACAGATATCGACCATTAATAGCAAGTCAATCCTTCACGAGTGTTCGTAACTCAAGCTGGGTCAAATTACCGTTTTACCCGGTTATGGTCCGACCAATAACTGGAAATGCCTTTCGGGCCAATAAGAGGGTGGGGGCCTTTGTTCAAGTTTCGGAGTCAGCATTTAAAAGAACACTCATCTACTCTCCTAAGGTCGGGGAGGAGTGAATTCCATCTTATGAAGTTATGTTCCTTGCTCCTCACTCGGTCTCATCCCCAAAATGGTAGGAATGCTGAGTCGGTGACTCGGGCCACCCTCACCCATACAGATCAAAGGACGAGCCCTCACGGGCAGGAGTCCCTAACTCACTCAGGATTGATAATGAGTTGTCTGGTCATTCTATGAAATAACACTCTATTAGTCAACGACGTTACATATAAAGATTAGCTATTTCGTGGTCTAATCTTATACAAACTCATTGTGTAGGATATCCCCACTCGCATGTTTCCACACAAATGACTTGGATCGGACCGTTTGTAACATTTCAAAGTAGGCCGTATCCATAGTGTTGCCAGGATAAGGTACCCAACCCTATTCATATACTATAGACCCTTTAGGTTATTCCCGAGACATTATCCACTTGTATATCGAGGGTATATCAAATATATACTCATTATATATACTTTCTCGATTACATAATAATAACCTTGGATGTTTAGTTTATTGGATTTGGACAATGCAGTGGAATAAATTCAACAACAAATTGATTGAATATAACTTTATTGAAAATAAATTTGTTTTTACATAAATATAAACTACGAGTTTAGGGCAACACACCCAACAGGTAAGGTGCCCTAGGGTGGGTCATGTCATGGTTAGTCGGTCGGTCGGTTTCTGTACAAATTTTGACTTTCAATTTTGTTTAACATCTAGTGTGAAGTGCGAAGAGAGTCTGATGAGTGCAAAACAGGGAAGGGGTTTGACGGTCTTCGAATTGAGAAGAGGTAGGAGACGACGTCTGAGAAATAAAAAGAAAAAAGGAAGAGGGAAGGGCTGCAGCGGCCGGTGGGAGAAGAAAATTTATGTGGTTGTAAAGAAAGAGCAGAGCAAGAGAGAGGTCGGGAGGAAGAAAGAAAAAAGAAGAAGAAATGAATTAAAAATAAGTTCGAAAAATATAATTACTGGAATTTAATTATAATTTTACCATACATCAAAAATGTGCAAAAAAAAAATCAAAAAATAGAAACTCAATTTACACAATGCAAACTAAAAAATTGTGCACTCAAAATAAAGACTTTACAAGTTCCATACTAAACACTTCAAACAAACGCATATCTATAATCTATATAATAATATATTAAAAAGATACAATCTCTAACAAACATTTTAGGATTATTATTCCCTTTTAATTTTTGTTGAATTACAAACCAATAACTCAAATTAATTTTAATGTAAATTTTAATTTATATTAAAAGGAGCATTTATTCGAGAATGAGAGAAGTTTGTTAACCACCATTTGAATTTAATAATAAAATAAAATAAATTTTTTATTTATAATAAAGTTAAGCTAACTATTATAATTTATAGTAAATTAATTTGTTAATAATAAATTATCAATAATACTAAATATATGGAATATAAAATATTGGAATGCAAAAGGTTTTTCCTAAAAAGTTCATTTAATTACACTTCATGATGGAATTTCTAAAGTTTTGTAACTTTTAATTATCTATTACCCATATAAATTAAGCTTTATTCCACCATTTTGTTCACAAACACTTGACCTCTATTCATTCTTCCCAGTGCTCTCAAAGAATTTTTCAATCTTGAAAGACATCTCAAGATGTTGGTGACATATTCAAGTTGCAAGAGAAGCACGTGTTGGATCTATATCTTGAATCCTAGGTTGTGTGTCGTTACAATTCCATATTGTGATGAAGTATTTTTTGTTGGAGCCATGACTTTTCGTCTCTACAATGGTGATTCTACCGAAGTCCCGCGACCATTCACGTTAGAAATCTCGGTTTTTTATATATAGTTACAATAATTTCCTTTGTTTTTGTTGATCACAATGCCAATATTTTTCTTTTGTTTTGGCGGTATTTGATTGATTTCGTACAACGCAAATGATCTAAATTTCTACCTCATTGAATAATAATATTAGTCAATCAATTATCAAGTGAACAATTTTATTTTAAGGGATGAGTCCATAGATAGGGTATTAGATGTTTTTTTTTACTTTGTTTTTTTTTCTTTTTCTTTTATAATTAATGTATTTTTTTATTTAAGATGTTTGATGAAAAAATAATAATTTATTGATCATAATCACTAAGTATTTTTTTTTCTTTTAAAAAAAATCACGTCCTTACAAAATTTTTAATTAATTATAAATAGTAAATTAACTAGTGGATCAATTCTCAATAATAATCATCTTTAAAAGTTGGAATACACTTTTTTTTCTCATTTCATTCACCTTAAAGTTAAAAGAATTTTCAAATAATAAATATAATTATAATATAAAATCAAAACAGCAAAATAATTTTTCTTTATGGAGGTTGAAAATGATTCTAACATAAAAAAAATTAGATTAAAAAATCTTTATAATTTTAACTCGAACAAACAAGGTAATTAAACAAAATAAGGAGCCTAAATTAGGTAAAATAATCTTTTCAAAATGAAAATATAAAAAAATTTATATAATATTTTAAATTGTTATATTATAAATAATAAAATACAACCCAGACTTCATTAAAAATGTTGTACATGATAATGCAATTTATATACACTTGAGATTAAATTAATAGAATATGAAAATATTTTAAAAAAATAATGTGAAAAGTTATAATGTAAAAAGTTAATGTGCATAAATTAACTCTAATTAAATATTTGTAGATACGTATATTTAATTATAGAGTATGATAGTTTTGGAATGCAAAAATTATTATAATTTTTTGATTTTCTTCCGCTATAAATTTGTGTGTTGAATTTATTTCCAAAACAATTTTAAAATGGTATGTTAATAAAATTAAGAAAATAGTTAAAAAATTTAAATCTATACCTCCTAATTATAATAAATAAGAAAATAGTTAAAGATGCAAATGATATACAAAATATAAAACATTGACAAATTATAATACATAAAATAATTTAAAATCTAATAAGATATCATAATAATTATTAATATGATTTGATTCATATTTTATATTTAAATATCGTGTTTATTATTTTTATTTTTAACTTATTTTATTAATAATAATTACGTTTAATCTTATATTTTTGCCATTATACTAATTATAAAAATTAAAATAAATTTAACAAAATTTTGATATTTTTATAAATTTGAAGCACGTACTAATTTAATTAAATAATTTATTTTGTAATAAATAAAATTAAAATTTTTATTACGTGCAATGCAGTTGGTACTAAACTAGTTATATTAAGATTTAGAAAAAGAGAGAAAAAATAAAGCCTGTTTTTCACTATCGAGGGTATTTTGGTAAATCTACATATCTAGGGTTTTCATCACTCCATAGAATTTGAGTCGCTTAACCTCCAACCCTTAAACATTTGCAGTCGCCCAATAGCACTAGTCCCTTCCTCTCTCCCTCCGTTCGTTGGTTCTCAGATTCCGCCATGGCGACTGGAGCTGCACCGCCGCGCCAACTCTCGCAGAAGGAGGCCGACATTCAGATGATGTTGGCCGCCGAGGTTCATCTTGGCACAAAAAACTCAGATTTCCAAATGGAACGATACATTTTCAAGCGCCGGAATGATGGTTTGTTTTCAATCTACTTGCCTCTGTATCTTCTCCTCTTTTTGTTTTGTTTTCAACACTGGCGGCCATTTTCACTTGAACTGATACTGTACGTGCTAATGGATGTGTGTTGTTCTTCTTCTTTTAGTGTATTTTCCTTGTGACCTTAATTTTTTTTTAGTCGCGAACTTGGAACAATATGGTGATTGCAATTCTTAAAATTGTCTTTGGTTACCTTGTAAAGCTTGTGTTATTATGTGTTTAGATGTGAAGTTTCAGTCTCTGGCTATTGTTATGTTTATCACTTTAGGTTTTACAGTATAATTCGGGGGATCCACTATTGAATATTCTCCAAATTATTCTTTATTGGGTTTTACATTTTTGGTTTGATTCGCACTTTTGATGCTATTTTGATTTCATCCCCGATTGTTGGTTCATACGCTTTCAAATGAACAGCCAAATGTTTTGAATTGAAGTACTTAGTCTTATCTCCATGGTTTGGTGAATTGGTTTTTTGTTTTTCAGTCTGTTGCCTAAGAGGAATGTTGTGCTTATTAAAGGCTTAGTGAGCACTGAGCTCTACAATATGAACATATTAGATTATTTCAATTGTTATATTACAGCCATTTATGATTTTTATTTTTTAAAATCCTCTTGGTTTTCAGGAATCTACATCATCAACCTTGGTAAGACTTGGGAGAAACTTCAGCTGGCTGCTAGAGTTATTGTGGCTATCGAGAATCCTCAAGATATCATTGTTCAGTCTGCTAGGCCTTATGGTCAGAGGGCTGTTTTGAAGTTTGCTCAGTACACTGGTGCTCATGCAATAGCTGGGAGGCACACTCCTGGAACGTTCACCAACCAGCTTCAGACCTCATTCAATGAACCGCGTCTTCTTATACTTACTGATCCTAGAACTGATCATCAGGTGCTTTAACCTTCTTAGAAATCAGTAATGGTCCATGGTTATAAATTAAGTCCAAGAAGAATGGTTTTATATTGTCAAATTTATGATTCAATTCATGCTTGTTCCCTTAGATCTATTTGTACCTGTATTTACTTGATGCTGTTGTTTATTTATGTTGCGTTGTTGATTCCTACTTGTAGCCAATTAAGGAGGCTGCCCTTGGGAACATTCCTACGATTGCCTTTTGTGACACCGACTCCCCAATGCGATATGTTGATATTGGAATTCCGGCTAACAACAAGGGGAAACACAGCATAGGATGTCTGTTCTGGCTTTTGGCAAGGATGGTTCTACAAATGCGTGGAACAATTCGTGCTGGGCACAAATGGGATGTGATGGTAAATTCGAATTTATATTTCCTATTTGGACTTCATAAACCATATTTTGGCATGAAATTTTACATCAATTGTTATTCAAGGGAACTTATTTCCTTGTGTATAGGTGGATTTGTTTTTCTACCGTGAGCCTGAGGAGGCTAAGGAGCAAGAAGAGGAAGAGGCTGCTGCGCCCCCGGATTATGGCATTGCAGACTTTGGTGCTGCTCCACTTGTTGCCTCAGATCAATGGGCTGGACAAATTCCTGATGCTCAGTGGGGTGCCCCAGATGTGGTTGT